GCTATAATGTCGGGGAGGTTAAAGTGTGTTGTTTAGTGTTGCATAAACCACTTCTATGGTTTTCGGTTTGCTACATTTTTATGGGTAGCTTTGATGCAGACGTGTCTAAGACCTTATTGGTTCAAGTCAGTTGAACATCTATATTTTATAACATCTTTGGATTGGGTTAAAGTAACAAGTTTTATTGTTAGAAAAAACAGAAATACAGAAACAGATGGATGTGGATGATTCCAACCTTCTGTAGTTCACACTGCAGAATTTGGCTCTAACCTAGAAAGATGTTGCATCCAACTAGAGAATCAATCCATGGGTCTTTGGAGCCATGGACAGTAAGAGTACCCTGACCTTTAAACTCTTGCCATCACCTGAAATGTCAAGTTCAGCATAAATGTTGCATAGTCGATGTTTGTAGCTAGCTTGAACATCCCAAATAGAGTGGAATGATCTGCTTTAAAGTACAAGGATAGCAAATGTTCTAGTTGTAGGTCAAGTCAGAGCAGATCTGAGATCAGTCAGTAGGCCATCAATGTGGAGTGATCTGGACTTGGTCTGAGCTCAAGAGCCTCATTGTGGGTTTCCTGTTTTAGCAAGGCTGAACACTGAGTTATAGCAAAGCGGGGGTTGTACCACAATGTGCTGACCTATATGTGCATGCACATGTGTCCCTGCACGTCTGCAGTTCAATTCAATTTAGAATATATAGGAGTTTAGAGTGAAGTATTTTTGCTACTCTAATGGTGAATAAGGATAATGTTCAACAAAGAGCAATAGTTGAGAAAATAAGAAATTTATGAAGTAATAGGACCAGCAACAACACAACAATTGACGCACATCAATTGAGACACTTCATTGTAGGGTTATACTGATTTAGAAGGATGAACTATACATGTAAAAGTGCAATTTCTGACCAGTGAAAAGCAAATACTACATACCCATTTAATTCGGCCTGTAAGTTAATGAAAAAGATCTTTTGTAAGACACTTAAGGCTGTCAGTGTGCAGGCCTCGTTGTGGGTTTCCTGTTGTTTCGTGATTGTCTTGTTGTGGTAAAATTTGTCTACTTAGCACTGCTAAACTGATGCATTGCATGAACATTGGTACACAGATGCCTTTTAAAATGCAAGCATGCACTTTATATGCTGATAAATCAAAGGCCGGGTATGTTCCTATTTGGTAGACATAAGGATTGTGAGGCAGATCGATGGCATCGATGAGTGATGACCAGACATCACACCAAACACAGGATTTTGTCTCCAGGTAGAGTACGGTTCATCGCAGACAAATTTAGGTCATCAAGATAAAGTGTCTACAGCCGTTTCCTCCAGACCTTGAGCGAAACAAATCAATAGTGACATGATTATCTCCCAATCCTGTACAAGAAAGTCAACTGTTACCTATTGCATTTTCAAAGTCAGGCATTGAACATTGCACATGCACACAAACATCTTTGAATGGTGTAATAAATCTACAGGACTTCATAGGTTCTCCAGATTAAAGTATATGTATATACTTACCATAAGTATGGTAGAGACACTAAATTGCTAATGATGTTGTAAGCTCACCGGACAAAAAACAGTCACCTGTGACTGAAATGCACCTAATAGCACGAATTACAGCTGTGATTCAATTTGGCCTGGACTGGACAAGTTTCTGGATCTACATCAATGTTCAGCCACTGCTGCATCAAAAAATTGTGCAGTTTAGGTAGATTTCATGGTTGCCTTCCATGGCGTTTTACTTGTTGTTCCTGGTAGTCCCACAGATTTTCAATAAGATGATGAGCAAAAGGCAAAACCTGGTTGTCCAGCAGCTCAATGTAGGCACAGTGGTGATCATCTCAACCAAAAGATGCATTTCTGCATAATTAAAACTACCACAGAAAATCACAGAGCTCCTTGAATCACACCTTGCACGCAGTCCTCATTAAAGGCTTCATGAGGTCTACGATGAGCACAACACGTAGCATCATTCACATATAGGCAGAAACAAGATTCATCTGACCAGATAACATGTTTCCAGTCTTTTCACCCACTGTAACTGGGCAACTTTGTGAGCAAAAGTGAGTAAAGGCCTCTCGTGTGCCACTCTGCTCCATATGTTCATGGTAGGCAGTTCCCTGCAGAGTTTCTGCATCTGGTCTCTTCACCTTCACCTACTGGGTAGATCAGTGGTCTGCAACACTGGTCCTAGAGGTCTACCTTCCTGCAGAGCCTAGTTCCAACCACAATTTTCCACAGCTGCTTCAGCTTCTTCTTCCCAAGTGGCTGTTTGGCTTTATCAGATGTAAATAAGGAGCAGGGCAGCTTATTGGATACAGGTTGGAAATAAACTAAAGAAAGTAGTATCTCCAGGAGGAGGGTTGTTTACCACTGGGGTAGACAGTGCTGTTACATACATTAAAATGAGCACCAAATACCTCATTTCTTCTGTGCAGAAGCAGAATTACAGCAGTGGACCTTCACAGTTTAGATTACTGACTGTCATTATTTGATATTTATGTATTTAAACCACTTAGGGACAGCTGTACAGGTTAGTTAGATGAACATTACATCATATGCATCTGTTTAAACACTGCAGTGTGTGTGGATATATGTGTGAAAAATTACACCAACAGTTTTCAAATAAACTAACTTTATTGAAAGAAGCCAAAAAAAGGTTTAAATGAAAAAAATAACTCAAACAATTTAAGCAGATCTTCCAAACTGACTTGTGTTAGTTTGGTGTCTTCAGTTTGATTTGAGTGCAGATTTCAGAGATGTGTAATAGACTTCAGTGTGGAAACAGGACTTTCCAATCATACTCCTCTCACACTGATGATACTCAGAACAGCCCACCTGATAAAAGAGAGAGAATTTAATAACTAGTGCACCCAATAACCAGTGCATAATCAGTAATTACACCATTAGTAACACATAAATAGGCAATCATAAGCCACTACTGGTCTTGACCAAGAAATCCACATAGATACACACAACAAAGTGGCTGTTGAGATTGGTGAGTGCTAGAAAATGGAACCCTCAGGTTGGAAGGCACTTATCAAATGACTGAGGAAGGGCTGAGGATTACAGTTACAGCTCGTGAATATTACGTAGACTGACTAAATCTTTCTGTACATCTAATTACTGATGTTGACAGGCAAGAAAAGAGAATTAAAAAGCGACAGAAACAAAATCACAGTTCAAATTTGGAAGGCACAGAGTATGAACAGTAGTAATCTGGAAGTGGTACTAGAAAACTAAAAAAACTGAAAATGAGATTTTTGCCTAAAAAACATATTCTTATAATACAAGAATTCGACAGATATCATTGCTAGATAGCTAAAAAAGAAGAGGAAATCAATGTGTGCTTTATTGACTATAGGAAAGTCTTTGCCTGTGTCAACCACAGAAAATGTTGGAACATCCTCATGAAAAGGGGAACATGAGAACATCTCATCATTGTAACCAGGAACGTCTACACTGGTCAACAAGTCAGTCATGACAGAATATCTACTTCAACATTTGCAAAGGAGTTTGACAAAGCTGGCCACTATCGCTACACAGGTATATGGAGAACATATAATCAGAGAAGCAAGATTGGAGGAAGACGATCGAGGATTCAAGATTGGTAGGAGAAACAACAAAAACCTCAGAAGACAGTAAAAGTGTTGGATAGTTTTTAGTTGGATCAATTCTTAACAACCGAGGATTCAGTAGTCAAGAAGTATGACACAAATTGGCACTTAAAATAAGGATGAAGCTAGAAGCCAGAATTGTCCAGGCCCTAGTCTTTTCTGTGGTTCTTCCTGGATATGAAAGCTGGACATTAAAATGTATTTGAACTTTAATGTTTGGAGAAGACTATAATGAACAACCTAGGCTGACCCAAGCGGAAGCCAGGATACTCCAGAATAACACTATGGTCCATATGGTTGCCAGGAGTCAACATAAATGTGATGGTACACAATAATACTAATAATCAATTACTATATTTTTCAATAACTACAAGATCAATTGAAGGTTTGTATACATATATTAAGGATGTTTTTACCTGAAACACATTTTCAGTGAGTAGTTCTCTCCTCTCTTCAGAACCTGAGGAGATAAACCAAAGAGAACCATCAGCATCAGTTTATCCAGTTTAGAAAGGTGCAGAGGGAGAATGCAGCACCTGAAAAGAACAGTTAGACCCAAGTGACAAAGAACATTCAGGCAAGAAAATCATTTTACTCTTCAGAACTCAGATGAAGAAAATAACTTTTATAATAACAGTTATTGTGGAACTCTGATTATGCCACTTTCTCTTTTCATCAGCTTGTTTTGGCTTGTCTTGGGTGAAGATCTTGAAATGGCCAACAGAAAACTATCCAGTCAGTATTGCCTTATATATCAGATTAACTACCAACATAAATAGGTAGTAAAAGATGAATCAACCATTCATGCTTTGATTTCCGATGAGTGAATACAATTTAGAGAGCAAAAACATCACTCTAGGCTAATGGTCACCAACCATGTTTCTGGGGTTATTTCTTCCTGCAAAACTCAGCTAACACATCTGGTCCATCTAATTAAGTGGCTTGATTATCTGGATCAAATGTGTTCAATCAGGGTTTTAAGCGAACTCAACAAGAAGCTGCATCTCCAAGACCAGGGTTGGGGTCCACCACTTTAGTCTTTCTGGAACATCTAGATACATCACTGACTGTGAATAAGAGCCGTAGTCTAACCAGGTTTTAGTTAGTTGTTGGGAATGGAAATAGCAGTGACAGCTCTATGTCAGGACTCACTGTCAAACTTATATATGCAAGCTCAAAAAAATGTCAAAAGTATTGTCTTTTAGAAGTCTCGGTTTTGTGTTCGGACAAAAAATGTTCAGGTGCATCTCTGTTAGCTTAGTACTAACACAGTATGAGAAATTCCATAGGAAGGCTAGCAGAAATTAGCCCTGTCGTGAAGGTTTTTGTTTCATTTTGACGGAGTTTTGATATTTTGATATAGTCCACTATTTCAAACAGGACCATAATCATTGCTCAGACTGAGATGTACAAAGAGAAACATAAATAAATACATGTAGAACACAGAGATATAAAGATGAGAGAGCACCTTTAGTTTTGTGTCTGCAGATGCAGAACACACATGTGGTGGAGAGAAGAACACACACAGGACACACACTGACCAGCAGCTTCCAGCAGACACTACAGTCTGATACAGGAGGGGTGGAGGGATCAGCAGAAGGGATGGTTGTGTCTGAAGTAAAAGAGGAAATGTATCTGAATTAATTAAAGCAGAAGAACCTCCTTTTACTGAGAACATTAACGCACTATTCTGGATTATTCTTTAACTTTTCTATGTGTCACCGAACATAAAATCAGAGTAGTACTAAAGCTTTACGACTTAGAATTACCAAAGCTACTCAAGTCATAAGAATCAGTAGGTCAGAATGAGGTATCCTACCCAAGAATGAGAGTCGAGTGATTCTGCTTCCATAATGGTAAATGTCCTCAGAGAGTATAACTCCAGTTTCATCTCCAGTGATCTTCTTCTCATGTATAGCGCAGTAGTACAGACCCAGATCTGATTCAGAGACGTTCTTCACCAGCAGATCATGAGTTTCACTCGAAGGGTTCCACACAAAAGAGTAACAGGGATGAACACCACGCATAAAGTCTTCTGTGGATATTATAATAGGAGGATGATGCTCTTTAGAAGAGTTTCTGAACCAAACTGTATTGTATCCACTCTTCCAAACACAGTCGCTGTACAGAGTGACGTCGTCTCCTGGTCTGACTCTCATCTCCACTTCGGATCCAGAGATCCTGGAGAGCAAAACACCTGCAACACACCAATCACACTTTAGTATGTCTTCCTAGATAGAAAGTGTCTTTTTCTCTGTTCAAAAAATTAATACCAAAGTATTGAAATGAAATTATATTAAATTTACTTACATATGACAGTGATAAGTGCGACACTTGATCTCTCCATCTCAGAGACTGGTGCTGGCGGGCTGATGATGGTGAGGATGTTTGAAGCGGATGTCTGTGTTGAGACCTGATTGGTCCACGTAAGTGGAACATTCCTCTTTATCTTCAAGATCAGAGTATGTCAGGCACATACATAACCTCACGCAAACATGCTACCAGCTAAGCACAGACTTCCCGTTGGTCATCTTTCTTAGAAGAGTAGATGTTGCTGTAACATGACTTGTCAGCGAGAATTTGTCTGAATGTGTTATGAACAAATTTGGGTCTGAGGAAACTTTAGTGCCTTTGGTGTTTATTTTCACTTCAAAGCTACATTTCAACAACACATAAACAGATTAAGAACGTTAGGCTTATACTTAGGCTTAGTCACACTCATGAAATTCATGGACACCAATTACACACCTACACATTGCATTTGGCTATACTGGCCGCAGCACTAAAGGTCACTTCAAGCCAGAAGGATTCATCTATTCAAATACAGCACCACTAGGAGTCATATGAAAGGATTTTAGTACATCTGTAAAGTGAGAAGAGCTCATAGGGTGGATCTTACAGCAGAAAGACATTTAATATAAAGGTCCAAGCTAAACCAGTTTGTACCAGGCCTGAAAGTTAACCGACATACAGCAGATCTTCAGTCAGAGAGCTGGGCCTCATTGTGGGTTTCCTGTTGTACAAAGCCTGCATGTTGTGACAGTGACAGAGCATTTATGTGATACATAAATCCACCATTCTTGGAGGGTGTATTAAGGAGGTTAATATCCTGCTGTCGGAGCAGTGGTGCCCCCAGAAAATTTTCCCAGTGGTGGCAAAGGGGGGCATGGAGTTTCAGAAGGGTGGCACTGTGACCGGGGCAGGGGGGAGGGAGTTGAAAGGATGGTGAAACTGTGCCACTAAGAGGGGGGTTTGAGAGGTTATTCTGAAGTTGTCTTGGTGACTGCGGATATACAAACAGATGGGAAAGAAGGAGAAAATGGATGGCAATGGGAAAGGACGGTGAAGTGTTGGAGAAGCTGGCCAATTGCCGATAACTGCTCTCCCCTTAAAGGTAAATGTGAAAGTGAACGTGTGATGGGGCGGCACCGGCAGGCCAACAATTGGCCCCTGCCCACCTGGCCCCCCTTGACAGCTCCACTGGGTGTCAGAATGAACTTTTCCATTATAGCTTGGTCTACACCGGCTCCAGCTCCACTGTAGCTCTGCCCACATTCCTGTGCCCAGTTTAAGACCCCTTGGCTGAGTTCGACTTAATACAGTCTTTCACAGCCCTGATTTAATGCGATACTTGCTGGTTAAAAATTTTACCCGACTTTCCTGAGATCAGAACATCAGTCTGGTTGGCTGGAATCTCAGATGACAAGCATGATGTGTGTCACAAATGATGAGTTTTTATTCTAAGAACTTTAGTTCTGTTATCTCCTGTGGTTTTCTCTCCCAAAAGGAGATTTTTGTCACGCCTCAGGCAGACTCAGACTACATTTCCCACAATGCATTAGGAGATCATGTGACTGAGCAACTTCCCTCGGAAGCGGAGTCCAGAACGGACTCCATTGCCCACAATCCCTCGGGAGATCATATGACTTTGGTCGTGCACGCACCTATCAGCATAGGTGATGTAGAATGTATCCGACTTGACCACAGTATTTTTATACCCCACCCCTGCAATCATCAGAGTTCACGTTGACCGTCAAGACAGGCTAAGAAGAAAATGAACGCAAACCTTATCTCATATACAGTGTAGTATTTTTGCTCCTGATCTCTTTTATTCTTGCACATTTGTCACACTTAGTGTTTCAAACTAAATTTATTATGACAAATTGAATACATTTAATAAGACAACCTGAGTAAACACAATATACAGCTTTAATATTATCATCTCATTTACTACAGGAAAAAAAGTTATCCAACACCAATTTGTCCGGTGTAAGTAATTTAGTTAATCAACCAAAGAACCAAATTTGGTTGATCACTGGGATCATTTAAACTAACTACGCACAGGCTTGATTACTGATAGCCCTGCTGCTGAATCTAAACACCACTTCAACAAGAGCTTTCCAGCAATGTGAAGTAGATTGACGCCTTAAATGGGCAATGCCCGCTGGCAGGCCCAAAGTTTTATTACACACCTATAACCTAAGAATAGCTCAACTAGTTTGCACTGAAGTCCCTGTAATTACTGAATAATAAGCCTTAGTAAGTAATTGGACTGGGATTTCAAGCGTCTAACCCTCTCAAGTAATAAACATAAACATAAACATAAACAGCATTTCTGGATCCTGTTTATATATGGTTTCGTCTTCTCATTTTAGAGTTTTAACTTGCATTTGTGGATGCAGCGACAAACTGTTTTCATAGAGAGTGTTTCAGCAGAAGTGTGTCTGAGTCAATGCAGGGATTTCCACTTTTTAATGCAGTGCCGCCTGAGGGCCCAAAGTTCATGGCCAGAAAATACTGGTTTTTGGTCTTGTCCCTTGCATACAGAAATTTATCTGAATTCTCTGAATCATTTAATGTTATTGTGTACTGTAAATGATGAAAAGCAAAAGTTCTTTGCTGTTCTACGTTAAGAAATGTTATTCTTGTTGCACTATTTGCTTGTGCAGTCTTTCACAGAGTGGCGAACCCCTCTCCATCTTTACTTCTGAAAGACTCAGCCTCTCTGTGATGCTTTTTATGATTAGTCATGTTACTGACCTGTTGTCAATCAACCTCTAGATGTTTTTTTTTTTTTCATTACACAACTTTACCACCGTTTTGTTGCCCCCTTCCCAACTTTTTTGGAACGTGTTGTTGACATCAAATCCAAAATGGGCATATATTTTTCAAAAACCAATAAAATTTCACAGTTTCAACATTTGAAATGTGGTCTTTATACTATTTTAATTAAATATAGTGTTTAAATGATTCACACATCATTGCATTTTGTTTTTATTTACATTTTGCACAGCGTCTCAACTTTTTGGGAAATGGGGTTGTACTATGTCCTTTAATGTTGCATACAGCACCATTGACCTGAGAGGTTTAAAAAGTTTTGACAAGCAGCACATTATACCATGATCAAAAGAAATACTGGAAAATATGAGAAAGTTATTGAAATACATCAGTCTGGAGGGGGTTGCACAACAATTTCTAGGACACCAGTGAACCACAGTGAGAGCCAGTACATCAATAACTGAGAAAACTTGATTCCTCATGTTCTCTTTGTTTTATGTTACATTTTGTGTGAGGATCTGAAACCATTTAGTGTATATAAAATCACAGGAAATTAGTAGGGAGCAGTTACTTTTTCACAGCACTGTGAGCAGTTGTTTATCCATTCCATCTAGTGTTTTGACCCTTGCTCTCCCAGTTGTTACAGTCTCTTTGCTCAGGTGGCCTAATTCTCACTTTCTTTAGTCAGTAAAGACAGTCAGTGAACAGAGGTCTGATGTGCTCTGAGCTGCAGGGTCTCACTGTGGGGTTCTTGTTTTAGAGTATCTCTCAGGGTTGGAGGACAGAAGGAAACTGCATTGCTTTGTTTATCTGTTTATGAGATCAACAATTTCAGTAGGTTTTGAAATATTGTGTGTTTGTTTCAGTTTCAGAAGTGCTGTGAATTCACTGTCCCCATTTCTAACCAGGTCCCCACATGTGTGGTAATATATACAGGGACAATGTTCAGGTACTGACAAAGTAAAAAGCTTGTTTTCTTTGAAAAAAATATAAGAGAAAACATGTTCATGTAAATGCATAGGGTTCAAATGAACAAATTCTAGCACATGTCAAAATAAAAGTCCCTGCAAAGACAGAGAGAGTGTTATTGAAGTCAATGCTCTTGGGCACCTTTTCATAGTCAGTCTCAAAAAGAGTGTAAATGAAAAAGTATGTGGATTTTGTTGGGTTGCACAGATTTCACACGTGCAAATGCTGAAATAATGTATCATTCTTTAGTAAAGTGCTGTCATTCAAGATAATCAGCCTTTATTTTGACTTGGAAAACACTGAGGGTGACCATTTGCAGTGTAACCGAGCATAATAATACAGATAATACAAGGATATCAAGAGAGATTGGAGTAAGAATGAAATCGAATCAATTATATCAAGTAAAACTCTCAGAATAGTAATGAGCAATGAATTTTATAAGACAAAATAAAAAAAGCAAAAATAAGATTGAAAAATAAAAATAGCAATAAAAAATAATGAAAAGTAAATAAGCAAATAAAACGTAGTTAGAATCAGTTAGAATAATAAGCAACGGTGACAAATAGAGCAGTAAATCTGAACATTTTTTTTTACTAATGAAAATGAATTAATAAAGCAATATAAGAGGCATAAACACTCTACTAGACAGGAAATGCCAGATACATTTATACCTACAGCAAAATATTCCTTCAGGCTGTTGCTTCCAATTATCAACACTGGAAGTTGATTAATGCTGGTTTGGACTGTTTAAAGACCATCGCTGTCCGTGGTGCTGATTACTTTCATTACTTGAAAAATTCAAGTGTTAGAATTTATTCGGGTCTTTCTAATCAGGTCTATTAGTTTCTAAACTGTGCGCATGTGTTATGTAACCACTGCATGTCTACTTAAACAACTATATACTGTTGCTGTCCAAAAAATCTCCAAAATGGCACGCTTTTAATGTAAGTTAATGTAAAGAGTTTTCTCCCAAACAATTTTGTAGCATTTATATTGATCCATTCATCATGAAATTTTACTGATAATGTCATAGACAAAAATGGAGATCAAAATAATAAACAAGCCTGGAACTTCAGGTTAGAATGCTGCTGGTTGTTCAGATATAGGAAGTTTTGATGCTGCCTCATTGCCCAAGAATTGAAATGAGTAAAATGTTGGGACAGGATGACAGAGATACGTAGAAGATGTGCTGAGGTTTTGAAAAAAAATCCCACATAATAAGAGCATCCTTTAGGATACAGTTTATCTTGCCCAGAAACTTGCAAATCACCAATTAGTTTTCCCAACAAAATTTCCCTCATAAGCATGTCCAACAGAATTAACTGGGATGAGAAGATACAAGTGCAGGTTTTAACCTACTGCACATTAAAAAAAATGATTAAATGAAATGTGGATTAAATAGTTCTGTTACTTTTATGGGTGAAAATACAGTTTGCAAAAAAATCTCATGATGCACTGTGATCAATATATGGCCAAGTAATTAAACACTTTGATTCTATAGTTCAATTTGGAAATTTCAGCCTGTTTATAGAATTCAGAAAAGCAGAGATCTGCTCGACTGTGTGATTAAATTATATTGGATCAGATCTGACCTCAGAATATGTACTGAAATCAGAGCTCTCAACTCTCCTGGTCTTCAGATGTTTCTGTCCTTTGCTCTGGATGTCCAGTGAAGCATAACAAACATCACCACCTTCTACCTGCAGCCAATGAAAATGAGAACATTTTGTATTTTAGAGTAACTTTTAATAAAGGCATAATATAGACTTACACATATTAAAACATTTTAATAACCGCTAAAGGTAGAATTTAGAGAATTATAGCATTTAATGCTGCATGTGTTTGTGTGTGTGTGTGTGTGTGTGTGTGTGTGTGTGTGTGTGTGTGCGTGTGTGTGTGTGTGTGTGTGTGTGTGTGTGTTGTATTACCTGGGCATTTCTTCTATCCTGCTGTCTTTTGGCAGTTTCTCTCTGACCGGCTTTGAATCGTTCTGTGTATGAAATCAGTCACATCACCATGTTATCTCACCTTCTTTTGTACAAGATTTGACAACAACTTGATGATGTTACAAAATATAAAATGAAAACATTAAACTTACAATTTAATAAAATACTTAAGTAACATTTCCTATGAAATTTGTATACATTGTGCATTATAAATACATGTATAAGGTGCATAATGCCTAACAATAAGGAGCATAAACTTGTATAATTGTACTCACATAGTTATATCTTATATTATGATGCATTATAAAGCAAGAGTATCTGACTTTATGAAGTCAGAGTCCATAATGCAATGTGAAATCTGTTTATAAGAACACTGTAAACACTAATTTGTAATGCACTTTTATGATCTATAGCCTGTATTTTTACAGGCTTTAAGTTAAGTGAGGTTTTTTAAACATCTTTAAATGTTAATTAAATTTCATTTCAGTACATAATGACTTAAAGAATTATAAGTGCTCTTTACAGAATTTAAATGAAGTGCGATAATCATTTGGAAAACGTGTGGTGTGAGAAAATCATTCTGCACTTCATGCAATCGTTCATAAACACTGTGTATATTGTTCTGCTCCAAAGTAGGAAGTGTTTAAGGCTTGGATTCGCAAAGCTACCTAGCCATTGCTAACATTAGCTATATACCTAATCAAAGCAGCTGATGATTACTGTTGTTATCTATGGTTAACACAATGATTTAGCTTTTATTACTAACTGCTAACAGTCTAGCACCTAAAGCCAGCTAGCTGGGCATTACAGTTAACAGTTAGTTAAAAATAAATAAACTATCAAATTCACATTAGACATTCACACAGCATTCATGTTTACTATTTTCTTATGACTAGCCAAACCTGACATTATAAAATAAGAGTATTTACCTCAAAAAGTGTTAAGCCTGTAACTATAACTACTTGTAAGCAACTATACAAGCTTATACCAGGCATTATAAATGCATTTATAATGTGTTCAGGATTCATAGGAAGGGTTACCAATACTTCTTTTAAATAACTATCTCAGGTGGACACATGGTGATGCTGAACTGAGAGGTGAGTTAGCTCCTATGCCTGCAGAGCCAAACAACCAATGGATTATGAAAGAAGTTTTTTTAAAGCCCTGACTTTGTTCCTAGTGTTTCACAAAGGCTCAGAATTTCACAAAAGCAAAATGCAAAAGCTCTTGAATGTTATTCCCCATGCTAGGCAGACACAGACACAGGGGCTGATTGTATTATTAGAAACCTAAAAGGCATTTAAGGTGTTTAAAGTCTTGGGAAATTTTGGATTAGGAGATAACTTTATCAGATGGATTAAAGTGATATATAATGCCACCTCAGCCAATGTGATTACTTCCATTCAACTTACATTCCCTCTAGAAAAAGTTGCTTGACAAGGCTGCCCCCTGTCTCCCCTGTTTGCTCTGATCATTGAATCTCTAGTAGAAGCTATTAGAGGGAGACGGGAAATATACTGAAGTCAATTCAATGGCAAGAAAACGCTTAAAATCTCCTAATATAATCATCCCTTATATAATACTAAGTTATAATATAATAAGTGTTATGCTGGCATTAAAGTATTAAATCTTTTAGAGTTTTAAAATATCTGTACAGCACCATTATGTCATTTTAGGAATTTATCATTCCAAATGATCCTTTTAAATGGATAGTTTTGAATCTCACTTATATGTGTCTCCAGACCTTAAAGAATGAGTGAAACTTAATTTTCTTAAAACTCTCAAAAAGAAAAAGTCCAGAATGATTAAGATGGATGGTTTGATTTTCCAGTCTCATGGATGGGCAGAGTGAGCATAATTACAGTTTTACTATACATGACCCAGACAATCAATTACAGCTTCACAGCTTCCTGAAGATAGGGGTGCACTGACACCAGCCAATGTACTCTTTTACAACTGGGCCTGACAACTGGGAATGCCATATTAGAGGTCTGCATAGGCCTGATTATTAATACCCGCACCCGCCCCTTTCAACCAATCACTTCTGACTGCGGCTGCAAAATCAAGCCTGATTCCTGCTCACTCCTGCCCACAAAACCTAGCACCATTTTTGCTTGCACCTGCATGCTTTAACCACTCTCCATTCCTACCTGCACCTGCCTACTTTTGTTTGTGCTTGTGGTCCTCATCAGCTCCTGCCTGTATTCCCTGTGACACGGTGGAGTGTCACTGTCATTGGACAAGTGGCCACCCCAAAAAAGCAATATATAAATGGTTACTAAGTCAGTTGAAATGAATTTAAAATCACTGAAATTAAAAAAATAAAATCAGTTAGATTTTGTGCGTAAGTTGTTTATTGGTGGTTCTATAGCTTCATGTGTTTTTCTCTGCAGCACACTTGCAGCTCATTTGTTGCTTGCTTGTTCACTTCTACAAGCAGCCAATAATTGTCCAAGCCAGCCTCACTCAGCCAGCCATAACACTCGCCTTCACAAGCCCGCAACCTGTTAAATCGCACCCGCAAATTATTTAGCACATCATGAGTAAACCCATCTTGTACAGACTTCTCTGCCATATTACTGAATCAATCTGGGGACACTCTTGCTTCAAATGTACACCGTCATCCCACCCCAGCAACAAGAAACCCACCCATCATTAAGGGTGACCTTATAATACAGTACAATCTTGGCAGGAACTTTCAGAAAATGTGCCAAATCCTGCTGACCTAACAGTATTGTTTACTCATCCTTTAAGATATTTTTGAGGAATTATACTCTATACTATTTAATTATATTAAGAGCCAGATTTCATACTTTTAGAGGGAGATTCATACATGGAATAGTCACAGTATAGATCATGTTATTAGAATGTGGGAGAAAGATCTGTGGACTAATACTGAAAAAGATGATTGGAATGAACTTAGCTTTTCATCCAGAATCATAACACAACATAAAACCCCACAAATTCTGAATATGAGTGATGAATTCCCTATTCCTCTCATAATAGAAAATTGGAATAGGAATATACACAGGGTACACACACATAGTCAGATACGCTAGGGACTTAGTAGTTTATTGGGGCGTCAGTATGGGCTGTGCTACCGTAAAGAACTGAGGGGGGTTTGGCCATGAAAAGTGGCTCTCGGGAAGCGCCACACTCCCAAGTTAAAACAGCATGTTTATTGCAGATGTTATTGCTGATGTTATCAGTGCAGTTATGTTGCTTAGAGTAAATTGTGTCTGAGGAGGTGGGTTTTGTGTTTGTGCTTGTCTATCCCCCTTGTACAGTGTGTCCTCTTGTGTTACCCCGCTCCCTGCTGTTGGGGTAGCACAGGGCTCGGTATTTCTGGTCTTTGTAAAGACTCACTGGTGAAGTTCCTAACAACACAGAGTTGCTGGGGGAAAAACATAATTTTTAGCTAGAAAATGCATTTTGCTAAACTGGATCCACGAAAAATCACCTACAGTTACACAGCAGTACAAACAAATACTTTAGGTTCTGCCCTGGGAAAGACTGAGTGCAAAGGTCAAAAGAAATGATGACATTTCTACCAAAGTCTGGAGACGAGTGCTGGAGCATTTCTGTAGAGATCTGACTGCTGTACTGGAATGTGTGCCCTGGAGTGGCACCAGATGGAGTGAAAAATACCTTTAGTTCTTTTACTGCAGATGCAGTACACACAGGTGGAAGAGAGGACTGAGGATGTTAGAGCACACACAGGGCACAAAATGACCAGCAGCTTCCAGCAGATGCTACAGTCTGACTCAGGAGAAGTTGGAGTGGTTTGAAGGAGATCTTGAGCAGTCAGATCTAAAATAAGAGAGAAAGTGCCAATAGACCTCAAGCATAAATCACTCTGAATCAATATTTTACTACCACTGTTGCTTAAAAGATATAACACAAGAAAACTTTGCCTTAAAATCCAAAACATTCCACAAGTCAGAAGAATCAGTAGGTCAGAATGAGTAATCTTACCAAGCAGAGCGAGGCGAGTGGTTCTGTTTCCATAATGGTAAACATCTTCATAGTACATTCCCTTTTCACCATAGGCAATCTTTTTCTCATTTTTAGCACAGTAGTACAGACCCAGATCTGATTCAGTGACGTTCTTCACCATCAGATCATGAGTTTGGCTGGACTGATTCCACACAGGTGCGTAACGTGGAAAAGCACCAAACATCAAATCCTTAGACGTCTCAGCACTATGTATCAAATCCATAGTTGATATAATGAGAGAAGGTTGATGCTGATGTGAGCAGTTTCTAAACCAACCAATACTAAATCCACTCTTCCAAACACAGTCGCAGTACAGAGTGATACTGTCTCCTCGACTGACTCTCATCTCCACTTCTGCTCCAGAGATCCTCTTCAGATTGAAGAACACTACACCTTTAAGAACACATCAAAATTTAGATTAAATGGGATTGTAAAATTTGGGAATACATTTTCAGCTGGCTTGCCAAAGCCAAGGTTAATAGAAAAAATATCATTAATATAGAAAAGTAGAGGAATGGATGTATAAAAAGGAGAAGGGTCATATCACACCATGTCTCACGTATGGCCTGTGGAGTCTAGTCAGGGATTTTGACTCTTTTGACCACCAGGTATCTTCATAGCTCTTGTCCAATCTAGCAGTTCCAGTGTCTGACACACCCTTTTCACAATTATTTTATCCACTTATTTTCAGCTTGCACCATGAGACTGTGCAAGCACTGCAAAAGGATTCAAGGAACCAGAGGCCAACAGATCCCTCAGACATTAGTGAAAGGTAACCCTACCCTTCCCTGCCATAGTCTTGTAACTCCCCAAACCATAATTACATTAAAAGACACTCCAAAATTGCATTGTAATACATTTTAATAATACTCAGTCACTAACAGTCTCATCTTTGGAGGGCCTGAATCAAAGCCTCTGTATAGAGTCATGTGAAGAAGTAAGAACATTCCATGAAATGTTTTTTTTGACATATGTGGGCATATCAGTATGTATAGATAAATGTTACAGATTGGAAAAAAACAAAGGAAATTTGCTATAATTTATTTAAAAAAATATTAAATAAGCCTTTTTTGTTGAAAAGGTAAGTGCACCCCTGGCTTCAGAAAATGGTATTGCCCCTTGTAACAGAAACAACCTTATGTAGGCGTTTCCTATAACTGTCTACCAGTTTCCTGTTTTTACTGGAAAAAAAAAATAAAAAATGCCCATTCATTCATGCAAAATTATTTCAACTGTGCAACATTTGAAGGACTTCCAGCATTAATAGCCTGTTTCCCACAGAATTTCAATGGGATTCAGATTTGGGCTTTGTTCAGGCCATTCCACAACCCTCTTGTACTTGTATGTTTGGGATCATTATCCTGTTGGAAGGTTCACTTTTTCAGCTTAAACTTTTTTACAGATGGTCTCACATTCTCCTCAAGCACTCTCTGATATGAAAGATATGATTGCAAGTTGTCCAGGCCCAGAGACAGCAAAACAGCCTCAAATAATAGCATTTCCACCATCATGCTTTACAGTTGGTATAGCATTCTTCTGATCAAATACAGTCTTTGGTTTTCACCAAACATGGCTTCTGGTACTGTGGCCAAACAGCTCTACCTTTTACACTGTTCTAGAAGTCCTGGTCCTTGCCTGTATATTCATTAGCAAACTTTAGCTTTGCCCTAATGTTCTTTTTAAACATCAAATGCTTCCTCATGGTGAAGCTCCTATGATAAAATTTGTGCAGTCTTGTAATAGTAGATGCATGCACCTTGACATCCACAGTGGCAAGAGCTACTTGCAGATCCTGTAGTGAAATGTTGGGGTTCTTAAAGACTTCGTTTAGCATCTTACAGTCTGCTCTTGGGTTAAATTTGCAGCCTGGCCCGGACATGTTAGCAGTGGTTTTAAATCTTCTCTACTTGTAGATGATCTTCCAGACAGTGGAACGATTTTGGAAACACTTCTCAAACCCTTTCCCAGACTCATAGGCATTTACAACCTTGTTTCTGAAGGCCTCAGAGCGCTCTATTGATCTAGACAAGATCTTGTGGACCCCAAACTCCAGTCCCCCTTGTCCCCTCACTAATTCCAGCCCCCTGTTTTCTCTATAGGTTTTGGTTTGAGCCAGCTATGATGTGTTTCTGAAGTACCAATTTCAGGGGTCTCATCTCCCTCTGTCCAGATTAGGGTATCTAGTTGTTTCTGGACTTGAACTTCCTGCTTCTTTTCCTTCTTTATTGATCCCAGGATCTACATCCTTCATTCCACTGTCATTACTCTACTACTGGGGTGTCACCTCAACTACTATTTCCCTGAAAAAAAAAAGAACCAAAAGCTACAACAGGTAATAATGCTATGTTTCAAAGATTGCGCCAATTAGTTGTGCAATATTTATTTTTTTTAACATGATACATTAAATGAAGAAACTGTCATGGTTCGCCAATCTAGGGAGACTCAGCTTGAAATTTCCCAGTCTGGATTGGCTCTGCCCACTCTTAACCTCTCATACCTGCAGCTTATTCCCTGCACTCATTAGCTCCCACACATATACTCAATGTTTGGCCTTGATGTTTGCAAAGTCTCTGTGAACTGGCTAAGAGAAGGTCTTAGCCAGTTCTCTGAACAATTACACTGTGTTTTCTTTGTGTCTAGTTTATTTGGTTTATGAGTTTGGCTTATCTTCCCTACAGTGACCGGTGTATTGGTGTATTGATTGTTGAATTTCTCTATGTTGTGGTTATAAAGTTTTTTGTATTTGTGTCCAGCCTCGCCTCTCTTTTGTTAATAAACACAATAAACATCAGTGTAATTGCTGTAAGTAGAAAATCACTGGATTTCCAACAACTTTTACAGTGCCCCAGAAACTCATATATGTATTCGTTTTTGAGGTAATAAGTTAATGTGACAAGAATGTCACCACTAAACAGAGGCATCGTAGCTCCTTCATTTCAGCAGCCGACATGAGTTGCCCCTCTTCAGGGCCAGAGCTAGTTGAAATAAAGTGTCTGTTTGGTTGATCTTTTCTTCGCCTCATTGTTAATCACTGTCTCTCTACAATATATTATGTCAACTTTCAGAATATGTGGTCCATGACTGTGATGGCCAATAACAGAGGCTACTCATTCTAAACAGCCAACTTCTTCTTAACATTAGTGCCAAGCCGGAGGATTGGGTGTCGTATATGAGCTGATCTACATATAACCTCCCATACAGCAATTGGATTTCAGCCCGACTAACTGGAGGCACATTTGACAACCATGAGTTAATGCCTGCAGTTAAAACCTAATCAGGTGACAACACAGATACAAAGATCAAAATATATTTCCCAGCCATGCGTATGCAAAAAAATTACAAAGACATCACCTGCATCTTCTCAGGATTCCAAATGGGATCCTAGCCAGCAGTTCTGATCAAACTGAGAGGCAGTGTGCTTCCCTGAGAAACACTACCTCTGCTGATTTCACCATAATTCACCTTTTCTAATTCTGCTGGTTTCAGTCACATTTTTGCAACCTGGCTGATGTAAAATTGTTGTCTCCTTATTTTCCTAGAAATATCAAAGTTTTTTTAACAAACACAGCTGAAGCCATTTTAAACCCATGGTGTAGCTTCAAATATTGAATTCAGAAAATTCTATATAACAATGTTACATATGTATTATATTATATTATATTATATTATATTATATTATATTTGACAATATGACATAAAACTTCAATGTTGCAAAAATTATTTCAAAAGCTGACTGAATATTCAGTTTGAGGCTTTCAGTGAAATATTGCACATTCTGATATAAAAAGTAAATTGTTCAATAAAAGAAACTGGACATTTATTAACAAGAAACTACATGATTTAAGCTGAAATATTACATTTAATGTTGTATACATGATCCATCGGTTTTAAAAGCTCAATTCAGTCACTCTGTAAGCAGCTAAACTCAGTTTTTAAGGTCGGGTCAAAACCCGATAGGACAAAGTTTAAAAATTCAGAATTGGCACACATTTTTAAAATTTTGCATGGATTTATAAGTTAAAAATATAAGTTTTTGCTTGAATTTTCTCATGGAAAACCAGAACAGCTCTTTGGTAAATTGATGTAGAGTGAACCACAAACAGCTTATTTGGGCATAAGGTTTCTGTAAAGCTCTGCAGGATGGCGAACAGCAAAATTTGCAAAGCAGAATAAGCACAAGAAGAAGAAGAATAAATAAAAGTATGCAAGCTGAAGAGCAACAGAAGAGTTGAGAAGTTAACTTAATAAAGACATACTCATAAAAAGTGCCTCATTGGTCTTTTTGTATAGAAAAGCATTAAACTACAGATTGCAGAGACATAAGTATGAGATCTTAATGCAAAAAGAAGAACTTATGAATGATAACATTTACACATTTATTCACAGATCAACACACCAATCAAACTTCAGATTAAATAAAGATCTCCTAATAAAGACTAAAAGAAGCAAAAGTTTACTTACACACAAGAGTGATGAGAGTGACTGTTGATCTGTCCATCTCAGAGATAGGTGCTGGGTGGGAGATGATGGTGAGGGTCTTTGAAGCGGATGTCTCTGCTGAGGTCTGATTGGCCCACGTCAGTGGAAAATTTCTCTCCTGTGCTATAATGTCAGGGAGGTTAAAGTGTTTTGTTTAGTGTTGCAAAAAACCACTTCTACTTTTTCCGTTTGCTACCTTTTTATGGGTAGCTTTGATGTCAACGTGTCTTGCACCTGATTGGTCCAAGTCAGTGGAACGTCTGTGTTTTTTTTTCTGTAACACCTTTGGATTGGCTTGTGGTGTTGACTTGACTTTGAGCTTGGCCAACAAGCTTTAACACAATAATCTAATGGATGAGTATAGATGTTTCAAACCTTCTTAGATTGGAGAAAAGTTTGGCACAATCTAAAAAGATTCTGACTACAGAATCAAAAAACAGGTCTTTGGTGTCTCAGACAGTATGAGCACCCTGAGCCTTAAACTCTCATGTGTCGAGATTAACACAACCTTTGCATAATCGGCTTGTGTAGCTACTTAAACAGCCCAAACAAAGTGATTTGGTCTGATTTAAAGTACAAAGCCTTAGAAAAGTATATGCTAGTCCTTGTTTGAGTCCAAAGAATGCAAAACAGACCACTCAGTAAAGGCAGTCAGTGTGGAGGTCCTGGAAGTGGCATGACCTGGAAGGCCTCATTGTGGGTTTCCTGTTTTGAGTGTGAATGCTGATGATTGCAAGATCTCTGGGGTGGAGGTCTGGCATGTGTTATGTTGTTGTGATCTATGTTTGTCACACGTTACTCACTTATTACGATGCACTGTCCAACAACACGCTGGTTCATTGACGAGTCTGTACAGTTAAAAAAATTCAGTTTTATGGAAATTATACCTATATACAAGTATATTTTATAATAGAAGGCTTTTCTACCAGTCTTATAGTGCAATTAGGATGAGTTTCAACAAACAATATAAGTAGACAAAACAAATGGGAGTCATAAAGTAAAACATACAGCAACAGCACAATAAGGGGTCATGATACATTTGAAAGAGATGAACTTTAATGACTGAAGAGGATACAGTAGATGTGCTGGTAACTGTTATACTTAAGTCCTCGTTCAATCCACTGCTTTGACAAGGCCTGAAAATGTGGCCTAACCAATATAAATCAGGTCTTCAATCAGTCAGTTAAGGCAGTCAGAGTGCAGGGCCTCATTGTGGGTTTCCTGTTGTGTGACGTTTGTCTCACTGTGGTAAAGCAATTGCGTGGATCATTGCAGGAGTTTTGAGCATTGTTAATCTCCTGCAGACATTAGTGTGACCATCTAATGATATCATACAGCAACTACATCAACAGGGTAAGGACTGATGCACAGTGTTGCACTTTATACATGCTGATAAATGAAATGCGATACATTTTAAAATATACTTTTAAAAAGTTATACAGCAAAATCACAGTGTAGATGATACTCAATCCTATCAAGGACTGACCTTAAGTATTAACCAATCATCTACCAGCTTCAGAAGTGGGGGGCTCCTGTGCAGGTGAATCAAATTTCATTGGGGGCTGCTGCAACCCCTTCAGACACACCATTGATAGCAACATGATGGGGACTGGCCTGGATGGTAGGCCAGACAACTCATCTGCAGGGAAGCTACATTTTTTGTGTATGTTCAAGCAACAATGGTGAAGACCTAGAGAACTTTCCTCCAGACCTTAAGAAAAAGTCATGCCCATGGTGCACTGCACTATCCACCTCTGAATGATGTAATGACTCTACAGTAGCTCCTACTGTTAGCATGATATGACACCATTATTCAGAGATTCAGGGATGAAGCCGGCTGTATCAGCCTACATCTGTGAATCTACTGACTAAAAAAACACCTCTGTTAGGCCTTTAAACAAGAATGAGAGCCCAGCAAGCTCAGCAGAGATGCCACTGCCCTCTGGCATCCAGAGTTCATCAGATTGCGCTTGCAAGTCCCGTAACTGATCTAATGATTACTGCAGGACTCTTTCTTTGCCTGAAATCCCCTGAGCAAACAGTATGTGACTGAATTGTCCTTGAACAAGGCACCTAACCCCCAACTGCTCCCGGGCGCTGTGAATAGGGCTAGTGTGTATGTGGGTGTTTCACTGCCCAGATGGGTTAAAAAGAGGAGGTGAACTGTTAAACTAGGGGCCCAACAACTTATTGAATTATTTTTGTACCTCCTGAAATGTGTCTATTATTTGGGATGGCACAATATTTTCTGGGTAGTTTGGAGAAGGAAACTGAACTGGATGGTGAGACGGGTTTAGAAGGGTCAGCTGACAGAGTGTTATTATAAGACTTGAGAACAAATGTAATGTGAACACAGGACAAAATGTTTCTCCTGTCAAATTTGCAACAGGAATTTTCCAAGATACTTGATAGAAGGCAAATAGTGAGCATTCCTCTCATCATGTGTGGTGCTTTCATGTAGCTTGACACCCTGTTCACCATCAGGATTGTAAAGCTTGGAGGGAAGCAGGTTGCCTGGACATTTCATGGGATCCCTGCAAGATCTGAGTACTTCAAGTTCTCAACACCATAGCAGATATTACTGTTAAAGGTTTCTACACCACTTTTAAAAGAGATGAAATGTTGGCATGTTGGAATGACTGTGTGCTGCCATTGATTCTGACTACTAACCTGGTTTTACATGAAGCTCACACCATACAGTATTTACTGTTGCACCTCTGTCATTAGTGAATCTCATGAAAGGCACTCAGGTACGGTGACTTTCAGATCAGCCTCTGAACAAGACGTCTTGCGTCTCTTTCACCACTGTCACTGTCATCCACTTCACTCTCGGCTTCTTCATATGTGTCTATTACCAGCCGAGTCTTTGCAATGAACTTGTTGGAATATGCGTTTATTAAAGAACTGGCCTGCAAGTTTTCCTGCAGAGAGACATTCCTGGGCCATAAGTATAAGACTCAGTTTGGTGAAAATGAAAACTGTCATTGGGAATAAATGACAAGACAACTTACAAATATGTTTACTTTATTGGTTGCCACAAAAAAGACTTAAGGAATAAAAGCTCAATTAAAAGAAGAAGGAAGTAGATGTTGTTTGGTGGTTTGATGTATTTAGTCTGATTTGCGAGGAGATTTCAGAGGTGTGAATGAGACTTCAGTGTGGAAACAGGATTCTCCATTCATGCTCCTCTCACACCGATGATCCTCAAAACAGCCCACCTAATAATACAGAGTGTACCAATAACTGCAGCCATCAATAACTACAGCTATCAATAACTACAGCCATCTATAACTACAGCCATCAATAATTGCAGTTACCCATATCTACAGGATCAATTGAAGGTGTGTCTACATGTAATGAGGATGTTTCTACCTGAAACACATTTCCAGTGAGTTGTTCTCTCCTCTCTTTAGAACCTGAGGAGATAAACCAAAGAGAACCACCAGCTTCAGTTTATCCAGCTCAGAAAGATGCTGAAAACATTTTTGTGACATCATGAGAATGTGAGCTATAGTGTAAAAACTCATTTTTAGAGGTGGAGAAAGGGAATGCGGCACCTTGAAGAGGACAGATAGACACACCCATAGCAGTTTACTGTAGGTCAATTCTGTAAGGCTTCATATCCACATAAGCTCTTCATGACATAAACCTACATAAACATTTACAGAAGCTTATTCCAGTAAACACTGTCTGTCATAAAGGCTGCTGTTGTTAACTTTGATGACACCTATTTTTTGAGTGAAATTATGAAACAGCGGTCTATGTCAGTTCTCATGAAGGGCTTAGGTAGCCTTATAAACACTGTTTATAGTGTTTCCAATAGACCTAAGAAAGCACGTTCAGACTTTAAGATCTTTCTACTGTTCAGAAGTCAGATGAAGAAAAGAACCTACAGTTAGTGTCGAGGTTTGGTTTGCTTTGGTTTTGAGTATGAAAAACAAATGGAAATGGCTTTTCTCAGATTAAACTTATACTTCAGTGGTGTTTCACTGTTATAATTCCTATTTAGACAAGGCTTATAATTAAACTCGGTCTGGAAAACTGGCCCTGAGAGGAATGAAGCTGGAGATTGAGAAGGTGGGTGGAGAGAGTACCTTTATTCGTATGTCTGCAGATGCAGTACACACAGATGGAGGAGAGGAGAACACACACAGGACACACACTGACCAGCAGCTTCCAGCAGACACTGCAGTCTGATACGGGAGGGGTGGAGGGGGTCCAGGGGAGATCAGCAGAAGGGATGGCTTCATCTGATATAAGAGAGAAAGTGACACTGTGTTATCCTTTTAAGGCCGAGAATCCGAGGCTCAACTGTTTCTTAATGATTCTAAAATTATTAGCAGGTAATTAATAAAGCCCTAGTAAATAAGAACATAGCATTAGTAAGCAAGCTTAGAAATGTGGTGTACATGTATTCAGAAGATGTGTTCATGTTGTCCTCTGTAAGGTACTGTGTGTTGGTCATTGAATTAAATGTTAATTTGTTGTAATCGTTCAGTTACAGGCATGATTGAAATGTCTTTATATGACATTCTATTCAAAGAATATGAACACAATGTGTTAGTAAATGCTAATAAATGGTCACATTTCATTCACAAGTGTGTATAAATTATGTGTCATGAACATGTTTGCATTCATAAAATTAATTTATTAAAAAAAATGATTACAGTAATCAGTAGGCTACTGTGTTTGAAACTGCAATAATAAATTGCATTACACTTCTAAGACAGAGCATTCTATGCTTCTAACAGCAACTCAAATATAACTTACTTTAAAATACTGTGCAAATGACAAAATACCTTTAAAATATCTCTATTCATGTATTTGTAAGACCTTCACAAAATGGAAATTATGTATTTTTTATAATTACTGCCATAATAATATTTTTCCAGGTCATAAAATGTGAAACCTGGATATTGACTACCAGATATTGTAGCCAAATACAATGAAATACTGTAATTTTAGAAAATATTATGTTATTGTAAATTGGATTGTGAATAACTCTAAAATGGTAGTGTTCAAGCATTTGTAGTTTATGAATCATGACCATTTACTAGCATGTTTGATCATTGATAATTACTTGCTAATACAACCCCAAAAGGTTGGGACGCTGTGTAAAATTGAAATAAATGTAAATAAAAACAG